AAATCACAGGGGAGATTGGTGTTGCAGGGAAACAGAACAGTTTTCCTAGGTTTGGGACACTGATTGTCTTTTGGATGAGAGCTGTAATATCATATTTGTTAGGAAAAAGACAGATTGTGCTTCAGTTTCCATGGAAAATGGAAAATACTCCATAACAAACACCATACTTTCCAAAGGTTTGAAGCTGCCTGGCATGCTTAATGATATGGTGGGCTCTTGAAAACTGTGAATAATTCTTTCATATTAGTACCAATAAAAGGACACAAGGACACAAGAAGAAATTAGGGTTAAGATTATTTAGGACAGAAAACAGCAGACAAGTCTTTGCACAGAGGATTGTGGGAATCTGGAACCAGCTCCCCAACAATGCAGGTGAAGCTGGTTCCACTGCATGAGACCCTTTCATAAACGTCACAGCAGGAAAAATAGCATTCATGGATCATTAAACTAACAGCAAGCAAACTACCACCATATAGCAGATGAACTCCTCTCCTTTGTAGCTGTTCTTATGAGCTAGAGTGCAAGCTTGCAAGCTTTAAATGCAATAATGTGAGCGGCTCAGTTTTATTTTCTGATTAATTATGAGGCATGCAGGAGGGTAAGGAAAGGTGGTGTTCTCGTTTCAGAACCTGCTCTTGAAAGCATTAACGAAGGCTTCTTGCCGAGGGTCTGAGCCCGTGTTGTAGCAACAGACTGAGATGGAGAGAGCTGTGAAAAAGGCGTCCGCTTGCTCTCCACACCTCGGGGCTTGCGGCTGCAGTTAGGAATCAGTGTCGTCTTCAGAGCTCCTCCGGTGCCGTTTCCTCCCAGATGAAGTGGGTTCCTGCCACACGCGCAGCCCCCCCCCCTCTCAGACCCCCTTCCTTGTGTTAATGAGCTCCCATCCCTCAGTGCTGCTACTGCTGCTGATTCTTATCTCACTTCCTCAGTAGAAGAGTAAAAAAAATTAAAAACCCACTTCCATCAGTAAGGTGAAACCGAGTGTCAGCACAACAGTAGTACTGGCTTGCATTCTGAATTGTTACCGTTAATATTTTTACCTCTCAAGAAAGCAGGGGGGGTGGTCTCTCGGTGTCAGAGAGCTCTGGGAGAAATGCACCTGGTTCTGAGAAGGTTGGGGGTTTGCGGGGGAGCCAGTGTTTTGGGCTCAGGTGTCGGAGGTGGGGGTCACAGGGCTCCGAGCCAGCAGATGGGAGGTTGGTGTAGACCTGTGTATCTGCCACACCTGACAGTTCGGAATGACCACTCCCGGTTCCCCACTCTTTACACAAAGAGCTGTTGGAGCCTGTTGCTGCCTGGGCCTTAAAAAGCCCCAGGCCTTCTGAGACGCAACAGGCTTGTAAAGTTGACCTGAAACTGAAGTAAATGAAAAGGCAAATCGAAAGCTTAACGTATACTACATTGTTTTACTGAGCAGGGCTTGAGGACACAATATTCTTAGATCAGTTATTAAAAAAAAGTTTATTTTACTTAAAAGAATCTACTGTATTTACATTGCCTTCCTACTATTGTACTATTTTCCCACAGCCTGCTAATTAAGTAATCAGCAATGCATTCTTACTTTTATAGATGAACAAGTTGGATTGTTAATCACTGCAAATTACAAATATACTTTAATTGAGTTGCACGTATGAGGAAAAAGGAAAAATGATCAAGGAAAATAAACATTTCCTACAGCAATATTCATAGAGGACTATCGTATTGTCAGGACACACACTGTAGTTAAGCAGCAATATCAATTCAGTGATGGTTTCACACTCAATTCAAAAGTTAATTTGTTTTCAAAAAGTTCAAACATTGTTCTGTCTGAAAGTGTCTGTGTATTCTGGGGCCAGGTAGAAACCCCAGTCTGGAACAAGCACATCCACCGGGCTCTTTCAAGAAACAGCTCAGTTCAATCTTCAGATCAATTAGCTGCTAGTAAACTGTAAGATTTATAACCTTTCTTGTGACCATTGTCAACACATTGGCCTGCTACCGTGTGTTTAACAATAAAATAAAGACCAGATGGCCCAATAAGAGATTATGAGGTAGAGCACGGGAGAGGTGCAAATAAAAGAGAACTCTGTCACTAGCAGTTTTAAGAAAACCTGCCTTAAAACAAATCAAGCTGTGGAACAGCACATACTAAGCAAAGACTGGCTTCTGCTCCACAAGTGCCAGGTTATATACAGTAAAGTACCCCCAGCTCCTCTTGATGGACAGGTAAGACTCCATCTGAACCAGTGGCCAGTCAGACTCTGTAACCCAATACACGATGGCAGAGCAGGCCAGAGAAAGCAAGCACAGCAATGAAAGAGCCTGTGGATCCACAGCAACAAGTAATACACAAAAAACAATGAACACAAAAGAACAAAAGACAACATCCAATGAATACACGATAAGGAATAACCAGACTCGTAAATATAACATTGACAATGTATATGCCAAAGGAGTTCATTCTCCTGGGATGATGGATGGTGGCGGACCCCGAATCTGACAGTATGAACAGGTGAGTGATCACACAATGAATGCATGAACACGAAAGACCTCACTAGAGGTGATGTGTTGGACCTTCATCATGTGAGCCCTAAGGTCCCCGCCAGATATCTCTGAATCGCCTCAGCCTGGGTCACTTCAGACAAGTGTCGCCTGTCAGGGATAAGCAATTTCCCCTCCAAACCCTTACGAGCAAAATACAGCACTTTCCCATTACCTGTTCCACAAACACATTCCTGTCGTACTAGGCATCATGGCGTTTTAGTTTTAGAAATGGAATGTGGTCAGGTGAAAGACACAGGGAGGGTACACCAAGTCCTGACAGGCAGTGAGCTTTCATGGAGACCCAGCAGTGTGTCTGCATTGCTGTTCTACCCTACAGGCAATTCCTGTGTGTGCAGCAGAACTGTAAAGGGCTCCACGATTCCAGAGGATCTCTGTTTGGGAGCACTCTGAGCACTTCACCTGGCCGGGCGGTTGGGTTTCTCAGAGCAATTGGGTTCTTAGAAAACACCCTTCTTGGCTTGGAGAAAAAAAAACATCCATGAAATTCATTTAAAACTGTTCTGTTCTGTTCTTTGTGTGTTCTGGACTGTGAGTAACTCTTCCTAGTGCACTTCTCACTGTACTGATTGTATTGTATATATTGTATTATTGTATCATTTGTTACACTGTTGCTGTGTTGTCTGTGTTAAGCTGCTGTTGCAGTGCAATTTCCCTCACAGGATCAATAAAGTATCTATCTATCTAACACCCAACTAATAAGGTAATTCAGGTGGGCAGCTGCGTCAGCATGCGTAGTCCGTAAAGGAACAAGTAATAGGTTTATTCCATGCTGAAAAGAAAAGAAAGAAAACAACAGTTTGGCTGTGAAGCCTTCTTCAGGTGTGAGGGCAGTTCTTCTTCCTCACCCCTGAAGAAGGCTTCACAGCCGAAACATTGTGTTTTCTCTCTTCTCTAATAATAATAAAGTAAGTACTTTATTATTACTAATAAAGTAATTGTCAGGGTCCGATGCGCAGACTCACTTGAACACAAGCTTTCTATACACTGTGAGTAGTCGCCATCGTTTTACACAGGAAAGCCACATAATATCCTAAAAGACAGTATGGGTAAAAATAATAAAATATGGCTTCACATGGTTTTGCAGTTGGTTCGCAGCAAACTATATAATTAACAAGAATTCTGGCAATTCTGAATTTTAAACTTTACTAATATTTATCAAGGCTGACACAGTGGCACAGGAATTAGCATTGCTGCCTCACAGTGCTGGGACCCTGGGTGCTGTTTGTGTGGAGTTTGTATGTTTGGGAGGAATGCTCATTAAAAAAAAGTCTCACTTTAAACTTACAGAATAAAAGGCAGAAATGTAATATTAAAAAATTATGACAGGAAGAGCCAAAACATATCAGTCGCCCTCTGGTGGTTCCCTTCTAAACTGCATCTCACACTTTTGATGAGTGACGTTTGATATACTGTAACCAATTTCATTGAGCTCCACTAGTTCTCGTGATTGAAGAAATAATATTGCAACCAAGTCTCAATAGATCGAAAACTCAACTGGAACTAATGAAGTTCAGCATACATTTATGTTTGATCTGTTGCAACAGGATTTTTGCACTACGCGAAACTTTGTAAAATGAGATGCTTTCCGAACATGCGTTTAATTTTCTTTACGCCAAGCATATCACTGACGAGCGTGTCCAAAAAGCTCCATTTTCATTTCGTCTGACCGGATGTCAGTTGTTTGGCGGGTCTGAGTCGCCTCTTTTCCTGGTCGGTCCTCAGAACTTCCTTGCAGCCCGTGGCAGAGCCCCGAGATGGTCGGTAGCAGCTACACTTTTGCCCTCTTGCCAGTTCGCCACCTTAAACGTCTTATTAATGGACATTTCAAATATATATTTTTTAAAATAATGAATTATTCCATATCCATCCTCGAACCTGTAGTGGTCAATGACCATATGCAATGCCTGCAGTCTTCGAAGAGCTCTCTGACCTTGACCTTAATGAGTTGCAGAAGCTTCTATTACACTTCTAAGGGGCAGAATGTTACTGTAGATTTGTTTTTGCTTAATTTAGAGGAGTGCTTAGAGTTGTTACGTTACCCCCTTTAATGGAATTTAGTTCTTTATAATAAAAATGACTTATACAATTATAGTTGCAGTATAATTTTTTTTTTAAACGAGGCATATTATCCAATCCGCTACTGATTCTTGTCCCTATTTCGTAGGGGATCCATTAATAAATCCAGCTGGGGGTGTATATAAACACAAATGTATTTTATATTTTCGTAAACATTTTTTTTTACACAAACATGGTGATACGTGGCTAAACGGATACACACAGATGTATTTGTATCAATGGGAAGAGTAGATCGCCTCCATTCCACAAGAGGGCACTGTGGAAGAAGACCGACGGCTGTCCGGTTACTTCGTTGCGGGTTATTTGATTTACTAGGTTTTTGACCTTTAGTTAGGGGGGGAATTTTGGTTCCGCTTTTAAACCGTTGTTTTTGGGGAGTTTTTTCCATTTAAAAAAATAACTTGTTTTCCCTTTCCTGCTTTAGACTGCCACTATCTTAAATGCTGCAGGACATGGATCCGCCGGTAATAGGTAAGAAAATCGGAGTGTTTAATCTCTTATTTACATTTATATTAGTGCATTTGTCCGAGGAACAAGTTTGTGCGTAGCCAGTGTTGCTTATTACAAACGCGAACCATTTTAATACTTTCTAGAATATCTCTCCTTTTCTTTAAGTATTAGATGACAACTCTGTACTTACCACGATCCTTTTAAAATTAATGTTCGGAAGACGCGAACATTGTATATTTGAATCGCATCTAATGCAATATGTGATTATATCCATCCACACTTATATTCTTACAAGAATGTAATATTAGAATGAATCAGATTTTATAATGCCGAGAGCTACAATCGGAGTATATATAATCATACTAATTGGGGAAAAATGGCTCTAATTGCTTGTAGGACGCTCCCACTTGTTTGATATGTGAGGCCATGTTGAAGTTTAGTTTAAGTACTGGCTTAAACAGCAGGCCAGGATAGAGATCTGAAAAAGTGTAATTAGGGGTTCAGTGTCAGTGGTTTCAAGTGGTGTTTGGGTTACACATTGATTTAGAATATTGTTTTCTCCAGGTTGGTCGGTTCTTGGACTGTGGCTTAATCTAAACCATGCAAACCAGGTATAAAAGACCATGGAACTAGAGCTTTACGAAGGTTATCATAGTGTTTTAATGGCCGAGCATAATTGTAAGACATAGTATTATGTCTTTTAATGCTACAATACATTGTGTAAAACATTAATGTGAGTTAATTGAATGAAGGATGTTAAAACTTATGCTAATGTTAAAAAGTAAAATCAGGTCCTAACACCAGCTTACCAGTTACACACTGTCAGTTACTACTGTGGGGAACAGTTATAGAAGCACATTTTCTTTGTAGTTTTATTAATGTGGTAATAAAACAGCAGACTATTATTAACATCACTATTATAAATGCAATTATACAACATCTGGTTCTATTATATACATACATTTACAAGGACTGTGAGACCAGGGGCCTGATTCAATAAAATCGGGGAAACAACACTCAGATACCCTCTTTTCTCAAGGGTTTTTCCAAAAATAAAATCACACAATGCTCCCTTCTCCCTCAGTCAGTTGCACCTTCTCCCTTGGGATGTTGTGCATCAAAGATCTGCGTTCGGTCTCTTAGACAGCAGATACCACTAGCCTAGAAGGTCTCTTGCTTCCTGCTTCTTAAACTTCTTTCAATTGCTGCTGAAAGACCACCAGTGAGGTCAGCAGCTTGGTCATCCCGGCTGGACTGTCATTTTGTCTGAACCTGCTTCCCTTTTCCCACTGGCCTTCTGAATTCTGGCCATTTTGAGTACTCAAATGACAATATAAGGAAAGGGGCAGCTGAGCAAATGCTCCAGAGAATTATCTTCCCTTTAAAGATAAGAGGTACTTTGTGACCACTTCACTGTGAGGTTACGTAAACATTTCAATACCCCTGTCAAATGTAACTATAAGCTCCCCTCAATTATTCACATTCACAAAGAGAAACATCAAGTTTCAGTATGCAACAGTTTAAGAAAATGTAACAGATTTGAGCTTTTATCTGCAACAGTCACAACAGATTAGTTGTTCCCAGTTTGAGAGAAAACTAGGTGATTATCACTGGCAGAGGTGTAAAGTTTTTCCAAACTTGATTCTCCTTAATTTCATGTTTATCAAGAGGATCTCGAAATGGATAATGATTTGGCAGCGGAAGAGATTTAGGTCTTGTAGAGAGTTGAAAGTTGAGAAAATAGGTACAGGGGGTCCCTACTTAATGTCTCCCCTTGACTTTTTGTGACCCTGGATGTGAAACTTCCCCGACTTTACATCCAAAGAACAAACTCCACCCTATGTTGCTGTCATCTTTGTGTTTACTGTATGTAAGCAATACACTGCACATTACAATTCTTAAGTGTTAAACTTAAAGTTTAATGTTTAAGTGAGTGTAATGTTAAAAACAATGTAGGTCATTGCTCACTCACTCTCACACATATACAAGCTCCTCTCGCACACACAAGCCATCTCGCACAACATTTCTCGCAAGCTCTCTCATTGATGGTTAATTCTCAGATGTTTCCAAAATGTTTCAAACAGGTTTAAATGACATTTAGGTGCTCAATTCAATGGGTCATTACAATAACCATTCTGTTTGCACACACAAGTGAATCTTCCGTTTATGCACAGAAAAGGTGAATGTACACTACTGTCGACTTCCAGTATTTTGTTAATTCTTTTTTATTATTATTTATTATGTGTTTAATGTGTAGGGCCATATTAAGGTTTAGTTTCCCTGTGTAGGGATATGGAAAATTAGGGCTGAATTTTTATCTAACAGTGGTGCACATTTTACATACTCTAGTAGCATCAGTGCTTACATCATCTTCATATCTGGTCAAGGTTATAGCACCATCAATCTTTGGTGTCGTGTTGACAGGAAGTGATTGAAGGAGGCTGTACCACAAGCAACACTAGTCTTTTTCATACGTGACACCTTATAGTTTAGTTTTTTTATGGTTTTACTATCTGCATGCGAAACCCTGCACATCTACATTAACATCATCTCCCAAGTGTGTGCCTAGCATTGAATTGTATCTGTAATTTTTGGATGGCATTTGTTGTTTCTACAGTGCCAATCCTTCTAATTTGATGCCTGCAAATGTGAATTGATTACTTACTATACCAGAATTTCAATCACAGAAAGAAACCAATACAGACCCCTTTATTACATCACCCCAGTTTTAGTAATCCATCAACATATTCTCAAAACAGACATGCATTTTCCTGATTGCCTATGGCTTGTATTTCTTTTGAAAAACTATTTTTCGAAGGCTTGTGATACATGCACCCTACCATATGCTCAACTACTGTTGTTGCATGTTCAGAGAACTCTTACGTTGGTGAGGCACCATCTGTCTC